TTCTTTCAGGGTCGGGACCTAGTACAATACGGACATATACGGACCAATGCCATAGCTGCCTACCGCTGCCGTGCCTTGACCTTTGTTATACTCCCACAGACCAGTGCAATACCACAAATGAAAGACAGCGACCACAAGTCCTTCAAGCCCCACACTTTGAACCGTATGTGTTGATCCCTGCCCCAAAGGATCCTAAGCAATTGTATAGAAAAAGGGTTCCATAAGAGAACTTACGACGATGGTTTGGCAACAATATTCTGGGTACATACCTCAAGGCAAACCTTAACCCCAAGCTGCGAGCCTTAATTGATTCCCCTTACAAGGGCACATGATTAAGTGATCGGCCGCGGTGGCTCGAGCAAGGATGGGTCAACTCGCGAGGGAGAAGAACTATGCCAAGCTGCGCAACCAAAGGCCTGCCGTAGTGCACTAACTATCATGCAGCACTGAGATGTCTCTTGTAGATTTCTTACGCAATCTCATTAAACACATATGAATCTTCGTACATTGGCCCTAGATTTGCTGACTACACTGGTCGCTTTGGGGATTGGCAAAGAGGCCTTGGCGAAGGCAGGGTTCTCTGCTGGTTTTTGTTTTAGCGTTTATTTCCCTCTGGTCCGACCCGTCAAAAGAAAATGAAAACCACTGGCACTAACCCCCACATGATTCAAGTTTCCATATCATTCTCTTTTCTGTTCATACATTTCAGTCTACACTAGTCGTTCTTTTTCTTTTCGGTGCCCTAGATGTGGCAAGATCAGTTGGATCCGTTGGCAGAGGCAGATGCCCAAGCTGACACAATTGGACATTGATGGCATCGTTGCAGGCAGCAAGGAGGGATCTTGGTGGATATGGGATATAGCTTTCAGGGTCTAGGGTTTACTTTTCAAGGGGCTAGGACTGCGAGTTTGAAACGTATGGGGGTCTCTCAAAGCCAGTGGTCCCTTCTGAGGGCTTTAACAATGGAATCAGCATGCTGTTCGGGCTTGTAATAGGGGGACCTTGTTTTGATAACTGCAGTATAACTTCCCATATACACTATTCAGTAGAATTGTACTGTGGCAAAAAATATCGCGGCATGCAACCAACGAATAGCAGTACGCGACCTGATTTTGAGGTGGCAAATGGAGAGTTTCTCAGATAAACCCGGAGACGGTGCAGTAACTGAATACTAGGTACAGAAAACTGAGCAAGCTAAGCTTCAAAACCCAAGGTCACAATATGGAAGCCTTTTTTCCGTGCTTGCCTCCTTCATGGTTTAGCTTCCAACATGTATTTCTTGATGTTTCTCGCCGGAGCTTAGTCACGCAACGTCCTGCAGTACAGCAGTGATCATCCATCAAGCAGATTCGGGCACGATGCACGAGGCTACTGACGGCTGCTGGGAGGAGGCGGCCAGCAGTGATAGCTTTGCTCATGCAAGTTCGGCCGTAGACTTTAGATGGCCAGGTTTTCGTCACTGAGCCTTATAGTAACATGCACGCTGAAGCACTTGAACCCTGCCCCGTCATCACCAATGGCTGTGAAGCAAGGCTGTGGGACTGTGCACCGCGCTGCAGCTGGCTCACATCATGAGAAAGACATGGATCGTTATCATGCAGGGACCTGAATGAGCTTGCAGTCTGGCAGCCAAGTCAGCACTTTTTGGCGGCACCGTGCTCTGACTTTGGATTTGTGAGACTGTAGGTAGGCTAGACCCTGCAACTACAACTGTGAAGTTAATCCTGTCCCTACCCACTGAGGTCTCCTCCGACCGCCCCCCAAATGCATTTGGGTCCGAGAAGCTGATCACGTATAGTAGTTGGGCAGATCGAGTGTACCCCCAAGGTACAGGGTTTTGCCTGGTGACTTGGGGTCCCCTCCCATGGGCCGAATGGATGCGCGGTGCTGGTGCCTGGTCATGGCTGCTGCTCGGCCTCAAGCTTTCCAACATATTTACATGTATTCATGCATGCATGCATGCATGTATGTATGCACCTGGCGTGATTATGCGTATGTGTGTGTGTATGCATGCATGCATGCATGCATGCATGTATGTACGTAAGTAAGTAAGTATGTATGTATGCATGCATGCATGCATGCATGCATGCATGTATTTATCTATGTAGTATGTATGTATGTATGTATGTATGTAGGTAGGTAGGTAGGTAGGTAGGTATGTAGGTATGTAGGTATGTAGGTATGTAGGTATGTACGTATGTACGTATGTACGTATGTACGTATGTACGTATGTACGTCTGTACGTATGTACGTCTGTACGTTTGTACGCATGTACGCATGTTCGTATGTACGTATGTACGTATAGAGAGGCGTATTGTGTTGGATGCTTATTTAGTAAGTTTTGTTGGGCATGCACTTCTTCACACACACACACAACTGCTTTACCCCCCCCTCATGCTGCGTCTATTTTGGAAGTCTACTCAAAACCCAGGTAAATCAATAAAACATGTACTTGGAACGGGGTTGCAATATTGATTGAACATGTAATCGGTTGAAATCCAGTCAACATCCTAGTCCAGGTGAAAGCCCATTTCAGAATTATACGCCATGCAAAATCTCATCAAACTCATATTGAAGTCAACTGAAATCTAAACAGAATCTACTTCAAGAATCACTGAAATCGATCAACACTCGTATCAGAATCAACTAAAACTTATTCAGCTAAAATCGAATCACAACAGTTAAATTCGCATATAAAGCTACATATATATATATATATGTGGTGCCCCCCCCCTCCCCCCCACGTACCTACCTTTTT